TCAACATAGCCACCATAATATCACTTCCTGGTTTGTGATGCATCATTATAAAGCCTCAACTGGATCAATGCAGGGCGCAGATCTGACTGTGAAACTGCACACTTGCTGGCTAAAGAGTTGTGGCTGACATTTCATTAGCTAATGATTTTGAGCATACCCTGGATAATCCTTCTTTCTGAAACACAGATTTAGCAAAAAAACAAAAACAAAAACTGACTTTTTGTTTTATTCCATATGATTGTAACAAGTAACTGGAGCCACTGAGCCCTTAACAAATACACCCTTAAAATACTTTTGAGAATTTTATGCCTAGCTCTTTATAAAAACTGAACTTTGAACTTTGGTATTGACTCATATTCTTCTCCAGCTGCTCTCCACAGCTGGCCGCCTCTGTTCCCACACTGTCAGTTATTTTACGACCCAAGTCCTTCCCAGGTCACACAGGCACACAAGTGTGCTCACAGACTCTCCTCAAGGCATTGCAGTATCCTCTGTTGACTAAATAAAAGGAAAAAGGATGGATAGAAAGAAAGAGAAGAGGAAAAGAACTGACTGTAATCTAAGAATCTCTTGTAATGTGAGGCGTCACTATTTAACCGAAGCCCCTTTTGTTTATTTCTTGGTTGAAGCGTGTCAATAGACTTCCACTCGGCTCAGTTTAAGGAGTCACTCGAGCCACACTGGATGAATAGAGACTGACAGTGGTTATAGTGGGATGTTTCTCATGATCCCAGTCCCATAGTATGACCCCAATAATAAGTGGTGAGAGTTTGGGTCCTGGCTCTTTAGCACCCCATTACCATACTCACTTAAGAAAATCACAAAATCATGGCACTTTCCTTCTTTTCCCGGCTCTGCCTCCTCTGGATATTTTCTGCAACTAAATGTTAAGTAAAAGCGACCATTTTAATCATGTCCAGCTCCATTATTAAATTATTAGTTTTCATTAAAGTAGCATTGTTTGTAGAATTAATGGAAACCCCTCACTTCTGCCCGCTTTAACAAATACAGTCCAGTTTCCTGTGAAGTTGAATTCATAGCATTGTATTGGTGTCTGTTTGCATAGGTATTTGGTTATGCAGAGTTAAGGATTAAATATGCAACCTACGCTGCATCCATGCAATCCTTCAAAAGCTGACAACTAGTAAACCCACGAGGGTTACCCTGTGCATCGATAGATTGTTGACTGATTAAAAGTTCAGTTGAACAGCCCGGTGGAGTTCACCATGATGGGAAAGAAGCAAGAAAAAATTACGAATGATAAAAAAGTAGCATAATAATCGTAAACCGTGACTACAGTGGGTAGTTTGATTGTTTTGCTAGTGTCCATGCAAAATGTCTTTTTGCAACACAATTATCTCCCCCTGGTGGTGTTTAAAAATAATGCAAGTTTAAGGGACACATACCTCTGGATATATTCCAGAGGAAGTACACACACACATATATATATATATATATATAT